ACAAATAAAGTTAAGTGCAAGGTGGTGTGAAAATGTATTGGTATGGTTATAGATTTCTTCTTTTTCTGCTTTCCATGTCATGAAACCAGTTTTTAAAGCAAAGTTAATAAAAATGTATGTTTTCTAATGGGCAGGTCAGTAGTTACTGAGTAGTTGTCTTGTACTCAGACTTGTGCGTTTAGTTTTATCTTCCTCCTTAGATATGGACAAGACACTTAACCTCAAGTGGCCAATGAATGAGTGAGTGAGATTGAATTCCCAAAAACAACCCGGTGAGATCTATTGTCCACCAGTGGAGAAAACAAGCAGCAGAGGGAAACCTCTCAAGGAATAGTCGGCGAACCAAGAACAAGACATAAAGCACCACATTCCTTCTTTGCCTCAATTAAAGGCAGAGTTCATTATTTGCCAATAACGTTCAGACGGGATAAAAATGGCTTCGAGTTTTATGGGAGTAAAAACACTGAACAGCAACGAAAAGGCATGTCTTATATTTTCCTAAAAACATCTTTATAGTCTTTCAAACTTATTCTGTGGACTCACCAAGCCAGAGTTGAAGGGTTGGGAAGGTGTGCCTTGCTGGCGTGAGCAAAACCTGATTCAACATTTCAGAAATTCATCCTCACAGTCAGACATGGTGGTGGCAGAGTGATGGCGTGGGGCTGCTTCGCCGATCTGCACAACGTGTCGTAGCTGATCGAACCGCGAAATCTGATCCCTACAGGAAAATCCCGAAGGAGATTGTCTGGCCAATAGTTTGTGAATTTTAGATCATTTCACTCAGCTAATACATCAGGAAATCTGCTGCTGGCGTTTTCCCTTTTCTTTTTACCTGCAGTCTGCTGGAGAGCTACTGCTGACAACCCGCCTGCTCTTACCTAGAGGAGCTCTACCCAGTCGCAGCTGTGCCAGCTGGCCGTTTGATGATTGCACTGAATTCCCTATTATGAAGATCAGTGGTAAACACAATAAATGATGTGAGACTGAACTCAGACACAGCGGAGAGATGTCATAAAAACGAACCTTTTATTAAAAAATATATAGCAAAGAAGCACTTTGCAAAGAAAAACATCTGACAATGAGTCAAGAAAAAAAATAGGTGAAGATGATCAATGAAGAGCGGGGACTCTTTGTGTTTGTGTGTGTATCTGCGGTAAGTGCATTGGGGGCAAATAACTGTACATGAATGATGGGTGTGACAGAGGCTGATGTCTGCTAAGGGCCTGAGTGGCCCTGGTAATAAAGATACTGTGGTGCGAAGAGGCTTCATTCGCTCCTAAATGTCCCATAATCTCTCTGTAAATGATATCTTCGGTTCCCTGTAAGGAGAATGAAAAATGCAAACTGTTTTTGGAAGTGCCTCTGCGGGTTTTATGATGGCGTCAGCCGAGAACAAACAGCTGAACTTAAAATTGTAAGCGTTTCATTTATATTCCGGTAATTTTCATATAGAACATTTCAGACGTGATGGACTGTGTGCACTTAGTTTGTGCTAAATTACAGGCTGCTGTAGCTCTCGGTTTCCATCAGGCTGAAATTGTGTCCTCTGCTGCATCGTCAGGTTGATCCAAATACGAAATAATAATTTCCTGGAGACGTTTCTTCAGTTATCAACGGCACTTTTCTCAGGTAATTTTAGCAGGGACGCCAACATGTTTTGTTCTCTGCTCTCGGCAGCTCCTATTTTATTTTATTTTTTCTTAAAATTAATGCCTTTCTATATGGCAAGCAATTTGTGGAGCTCTTAGATGGAAAAAAGAATGCTCCCTTTTTCTCCACCAGCAGCCAAGCTCCCTTGTCTTCTTCTGAACACACAGCATCATGTATGTTGCGTTGATATTGTTCAACACAGTCTGCCGTGTTTCGCTGTTTCGACAGGCTGGAATTTGCAGACTTTCTGGCTGCACACCGAGATAAAGACCATAAAGAAACAGCGGAAGACGATAGAGTCAGGCGACGCACCTGCAAAATGGAGGAGCAACTCCAAGGGCATCTCGCCTCCTCCTTTGCTCCCACATCTCATTATGATCCAGCTAATGGTTAAGCCTGGTGATTACAGAGGGGCGTTGGGATGGAGCAGGTGGGAATTTATACGATAGAGCCGAATCGGCTGACACTGACACAACAGTAGCGACAGAAGGTCAAGTGGATGCTTACTCCCAGAACAGGAAGCTGGCTGACGCCGGTCCTGAGCGCGGTGAGGCCGGAGTCAGGCAATCTTCATCAGCATGGAGTTTTAATAGGAAATAAAATGAGGTCCATGCAGACGGTTTGTATTCATTCATCTATTAAGTGATAAAGAAAGAAGAATAAATTGCTCTAAGTGGCGCAGAACTAGACTCTCGTTATATTCACTTCTCAGGCAGTTCATTAGCCACACTTTGTTAAGTCACTTGTTAAAACCAAAAGGGAAACCAGACATATGGAAGCAACTCGATGCCTTTAGGCTTGTAAATGAAAATATAGCAGTCAGGTTCTTCCTGTGACATGAAAACTTGACAAGCCTCTGAAAGTCTAACGTTTTAATGTGGCTTGCTTTGTAATGCTGCAAGAAAGAGTGCAAAGTAAAACATCACTGTCTATTCAAGTTACAAGCAGCTTGATTGCTCCAAATGTGGCTAAAATCCTTGGTCCCTGCTTGTCCTGGTTTGTGTGTCTCTGCTTGACAAAAATTTCACCACAGTGAAAAAAAAGACACATCTAAGAATGATGCGTTTTTTAATATTTTTTCAACTAAAATATGCAGATCAGGCACACTATTGCAATCCAGCTGTGCAAAAATACGTAACTCTCTTCTCGTGAGCTGATGTAAGAAGAACTTATTCTAAAATATAGAGAGGGACTAAACAAATTAATGCTTTGAAAAAACCCCCCACCAGACTTATTGGAGAATCTGTGTTGCTGTGCATGATTCCAAGACACTGTGGGGTAACAGATGTCAGCATGTGCCCTCTCCACATGCTCCCAAACCATCACTGGAATGAAAATGTCTTCCTTTTACTTTTATCTGAGAAATGTGCATGAATCCTTGGATGAGTTCTAACCTTTGTACCTCTGCTCTCGCTACATATCAAACAACAAAAAACAAGAAACCGACCTGTGTGCATGGAGGTATTTTATGGCACACTTGTATCTTGGATTTAGGTGATTTAAGGAGGGGATTGAAATGCAATGTGTATTGGAGTTAGAGAAGTTAAAAGTTTGTCATAAAACCCCAGATGCATGTTATAACTTTAATGAGTAAAAGCCTTTTTGTTGCATGGATGGCCCTGTGGCTTATCTTTGCTACCCCCAAGAACTATCAAGCAGAGAAAGTCGCAATTTGGAGGCAATATTAGAAAACCTTCACCTGGGAGACTTTGGCGTAAGACTCGTGTGAAAACACAAAGCAGTTTTAACACTAAATGTGAGACAGTTTGCTCTGGCTGTCCTAAGCAGTTACTGTTCATACATTTATTCCTCTACAGGCCAAACTATGCTGAAGATGCAAAGGTGGAAAAGTGTCACAGAATGCACGACTTGGTGCAAAAAGAACCATTTGCTTATAAATAAATTGCCTTAAAATCACAAGTAGCAACATGCAGAAAACAAGGCATAGATGATCAAAAAGAGAGTGTGTAGATGTAACCCTGCTTTCTGACAAACTTACAGTAAATACTTTGTTAGATTGTATGCTCTATTCACAGATTATCTCATTCGTGTGACTTAAAAACGTGATTATTTGCCCATACGACATGTCTGCAGGAGACTTTCATGAATGTTTTGCATGCCCTATATTTGAAAATTGTGTTTGGTCCCGGTTGCTATTATCACTCAGTGAAGGTTAAGAGGTTAAAACTGAGCTTCTCACTGCAGTGCTCTCTAATAAAGCAGCACACAAACTGTTATCTAAAGCGCCTAACCTGAAAAAGTTCGAACCGTCTGTGGTTTCCTCAAACATAAAGTGGCATTGTTTAACTGTTTGACAGGTGAGGATGAGAACCACTGATGAAAGGTGTGCTGCTATGCATTTTCTCCCCACAGCATCTTGTTTCCAGCATCAATAAGACCTGAATTTGTCAGCACAGTTAAGGAAACAGAAAAGGGGTTGTCTGTATTGAGTGGAGAAGAAATGGGTAATTAGCTGCTGGCTGACTCAGGCCACTTGCAGCTTTGTGTGTCAGGCTGCGGATGGAAAAACCGATGAAGTACGTCTCCCCACGTGTCATAAAGCTCTGCTTTATGGCCAGTTTGTGTAGCCTTGCAGATTAAGTTCAAAGAAAGGGGGCTGGTCTTTTCTCGATGCATCTTAAATCCTGCTTCTCCTCGGCTGAATCTGTAGATCAATTCTTTGTGCTCAGATATCCCTGGTGTCAGCAACTACAAGAAAGATGGGAAAACCGGGTGCCTAAAAAGACATTATTAAAGGAACAATTTCACCTCAGATTTAATACTACTTATGGAGCAGCATGACGGTTGTACTTAAATTGCACATTTTCCATCACTCGGCTGTGGCTTTCATCAACATCACAAGCAAGAAAGCTGATAGCTACCAGTGGGGAAGAGCTGCAGCCTCTGTAGGGATGTGAATGACGCTTTTCAATGCAACATTCACATTTAAAAGGAAGAAAATCACAGCCGCTCAGTGGTTTGTCTGTGTTTCACATGATGAGTGCCTCCTCAGAAACTACTCCCAGTGTTAATCGCAAGACAGCGGCTCCACATTAGAAGAAATGGGTCGGTGCCTGGAGACGGCACACATCCTTCCTCTGTTTAGACACAAAAACCAGAATAAACGCCACTCGTCGCCATAAAATCTCTGGTTAGTTTGCACTGCAGACGAAGGCTGAATCATATTGATATTGTTCCTTTGACATCTGAATATAAATTAAACACAGTCCACGGATTTTGTGTTTTTTGTGAGTGACACATTAGCTACAAGAGACTCTTCAGATGAAATAAGGCCAGAAGACATCTAAACCCAACATGATGACAGAGGACTGCACTCATTCACTCAGAAATAAGTTGCAGTTATTTAATCAAAACTCTCAAATAAATACTAGTACACAATGTGTAAACATGTCCAGCACATAACCTTGGCGCTCTTACAGCCCTAAAGAAAGTTGAGTTTATTTTTGATAGTGAAGACAAAACAGATTTATTCACAAGCTCTCAATAGAAACCTAAAGTCGGGCAGCTCTGAGACCGTACATCCCCCTTCTCGGGGACAGAACGTTTTCACCTTGCAAAAACAAACATATTCTGACCTTTTCGCCATTTCTGTAATTTTTCAAAAATTCGTCAGACAAAGCCTGTGATTGCACAAAAACACTGGAGATGGTTACAAAAAAAAATGTGTGGATAGGTTCAGGCTGAGTTTCTTTTGCAGATGGTGTTTACACATACCTCACGACGGGGGATGTTTTATGTGCTGCGGAGGCATTTCATATAGCTGGAAATGAAGGTGAAGGGATGAGGGAGAGCAACTGACTTCAGCTCACAGGAGGGGAGACATAATGCAGAAAATACGGTGTGGAAATTGCTGTGTTTTATTTTCAACACACTGCAATGGGAGATGACGCTCCTCGTTCTGCTGAAGATGATACTGCAGTTATCTGAAAGCATCTAAAATATTGAATGACGGGAACATACAGCTCTACAGAAAAGAGGAGGAAGGAACTGCATTCACCAGCCTTCATAACCTTTTGCTCTGGAGGATTTGCATTTGAACATTTGCTTCTCCTGGCCAACTAGATGTTTAAATTGGGAGCTAGCTGTAAAATGTCTGCAAGGTTTCCAAAGGAAATGTCACAGATCACTTGGGTTTTTACAACATATCTCCTTTGTCTAAAATGTTCAAAAGGTTTGCAGGGTTTTTTGTTGTTGTTGAATAATTAGCCTCTGTTTTAGAGGAAGCCATTGCTATTACTCCCTGTTCCTTTAAGTTGGTTTGCAGAACAGATGGACTCTCAACATAATGGTGAGCAAACAATGAGCCACCTTGACAGAAAGCTAGTTGGACTAATGACTAAGGAGATACAGATCAGATCATCTCCTACATTTAAGAATATTTTAAAGCTTGGGTTTGAAAATAAGAAACATTGCATCCCTAAACTTTTCTGCAAATGCAAAATTGCACTGATGCTGCATCCCCACGCCCTCGTTGTTTGTGATCTACACCTATTTCCATCCTGGAAAAATGCCTAGCATAAAATAATACGTTTTATTCCTGTTTTCACTTTGTTGTTGACCTTACTCTTTCACATGATGTTCTTGAAGATCTGAGGTCTCAATAACGACCTAGTCAATATTAAGATCAGAACAGTGTTTTTTACTGTCCTCATCTGGATTATTTATCCCTAACTCTGGTCTGAGTCATGCCAGATTCTGTTACTGAGTCTATAACCACATTACAACTGATGCAATGTGCATGCATAAAATAAAATTTTGTACCATCAATATTAACTCACCTACAAATGATGTGAAGGACAGTGTAGCCTAATGTTTCTTGACAGGGATATTTTGTCCCAAGTGGATATTCTGCTGGATGCTTTAAGACCCTCCTTGAGCACATAGTTAGCTTAAGAAAGCAAATGTATTATTTTCTCAATAGTTCTAGAAAAGTAAACATGTAGATTAAACATTTGTTTTTAAAAATAAGTATGGATCAAAACACACGAGCTTTTCTTGTTCCTGTTAATGGTGTTTTCAAATAGAGCGGTTAGCTTGAGTGCTAGACTAGCCTAGCACTAGCATGTCCATTCTGTTTAATATTTTGGTGTGCTAAAAGTCGACTGAGAAAACTATAATATAAGTTGTTATTGTGATTAATAAAAGTTAAATAAAAGTCAAATGTCTTAAAATTTGATGAGCAGAGTTTAAGCTGTTCTCCGCTTTGCGCAGTGCAGAGCTGGTTATATGTCAAAGATGGACGAGAAACTGCAGCAGCCAGTACAGTCGCTGATGTTTTATGTATTTTAAAAGAGAGAAACACTTTCTGCTAAGCCTAAATTATTCATAACCATTTAGTCATTCAATTAAAAAGCTTGTTGTGGATCAGCATTAACACAGGTATCTCCTGACTGACAAAAATATTATATAAGAGGAGTAAACAAAAAGAAAAAAACAACACTGACATGGCAAAAACTGTCTGCATCCTCAATTATCAATTAGACAGATTTATTGGCAGTTTACCGATATACTCCTTCTTATGCTGACAAAGTTGGACCATTTATCTTTTGCCAAATGGAAAATTATTCCCCATTAGATTTTTGACTTAATGTTAGACTACAACATGTTGATGTTACTTTTAGTCTGAAGAAACATATGGATAAAAAAAATTACCTTAAATCTAAATTTGATAAAGGTATAAATCATTTTGAGCTGAATTGTAGAAGAAGAAACTTTTGGGTTGTTAAATTAATAAAAACTATAAACTTGGCTTAAATACAAAGGCTGTAATTTTTTTAAACATTGGCTAAGCAAAAACAAGAGTTTTCTGGGGATGCATCTTGAGAGACGCTAATTATTTTAAAAAGTCTTGACTGAATCCCCTGGTCAATGCCTAAGAGTTATAGGTATAGGTAAACAGCAGAAGTAGTAGCACCAATAGTGCATCCTTGTGTTTCCCAGTTTTCTTCATGTAAAAAAAAAAAATGGCACTTTTGACATATTTAACAAAGACTTACCAACTATAGCAAAATATTTCAGGCATCAGTCAGGATTCAAATAAGTTACATTCATTTTATCCGCGTCTTGACAGACCAAAATCTGAGCATAGAGACGTTTTCTAAATAAGCAGATTTCTTGCATCATCATGTGACAGGCTGAAACGTTCTGTGCTCCACTAAACTTTGTGACAAGTTTCTGAGTTCGGCAGCAGAATGAACCTGCTTGTATCCGAGCAGAGCCAACGTGTCGCTACAAAGATCCTGAATAGCTCTCACAATGTCAAAGCTGAGACGAAGCCTCCAACTTTCTGCCGTGGCTCTGGAGTCTCTCGTGGTGGAGTATTTGTAATTCCACTCAGAGGGAGCCGACACATTGCTGTTGGTGTTTTTCAATATCCACATCCTCACCCTGTCCTCCATCTCCAGACCCACGAACCTGTAAATTTCAGCCGCCCCGGCATTTGGGTGAAGAGCCAAGTCCTCGTACCGCACCAGCATGTATCGCCCTCGCAGCCACGCTGGTCTCTGCAGGCCCGTTTCTGCAGAGGCAGCCATGTCCTTACAGGTGCTGGTGATCTGCGAGAGGTCCACGTATCGAGGCTGGCGTCCAGTGGCGTTCCATATTTTCCAGGCGCGAAACTGGTCAGAGAACGCCATGATGCGGGAAGCGAGGATGGCTCTGGGGTCTCTCACCAGATGGATGATCTTCAGGTCCAGACGCGGATCCTCCGTCAGAGTCCGCAGGTCTCCCACCTCAGGGATCCTCACGGTTTTTATGGCTACATGTCCTCTTGACAAACATGACATGGCGGCTAGAGTGAGGTTCAGAGCCCCGCACTTCTTAGGACACCAGATTTCATCAGGCGAATCAGACATCGCAGCAACCGCCCCTTCCAAACAAACTGGAGGAGAACAGAGGGCATGGCTTGAGCTCCGTCGGAAAAAGGAGCTTGTGATGTGATCCTGGGTCTCAGGGCGGATGTAGTTCTCCATGAAGTGAAGGTCACAGGTGTACAGGTTTAAGAGGAGGTCTCTGTATGCTCCAAGCAAGGCCCGGCGGTCTAAAGTTCGACGCAACCTGCTGCTGGAGTTGGTGAAGGCCTGCTGGACGTGGTAAAGGGGCTCAAAGACGTAGAAGATCCCGGGATGCTGGTTGAGTAGCTGTCCGGTGAACGAGGAGCCGCTGCGCGTTGTCGCAAAAAGCAGTATGTGCTTCTGAGGCAACTCGACGGGCATCCAGCTGTCATCGCACAAGGCAGCCCATCTGGAGTCTTGAGCAAGGGAAAGAAAAAGACGAGTGCTTTCAAAATTATGTTCATTCATACGATGTTTTAAGAACAGCCTTTAAATAACTTATTCCAGAAAATGCTGCAATCATTACTTTAACGCTGTGTGAAAAAGCGGTTCGTTTCAGAAGACCAGCTTTAACTCATAAATGTGAACTGCAGTGTTATTTCTATATTTATTCCTGGGGAAACTACAGATTAAAGCCAATAAAGTTTAAATTATTTAGCACAAACATCTAGGAGACTGATGGCAGTTTTCAAAGGCGGGTTATGAAATAGGAGATTTCTAAATATAGAGCCAAATAACTGATGGGCAATTACAGCTGATGAAGAGTTGATTGCAAAGAGGATTTTTTTTTTTTTTTTTTATTCAGGAGCCTTTCGCTGGCAAGTTACATCTGTGCAGTGAGAGTGTATTAATGGTGGTAAATGGGAGGATAATTGCAAGACAAATAATGCATTTTTCATTTTTCTTTTCTCCATTTACAGGGAATCCCCATTTTCAGTGCTCAGATTTCCTTTTTATTTTGCATCTATAACTGCACTGATGTTAAAAACTGTTTCTAAAAGTTTTTGTTGAAATTATAATATTACCAATCAAGTATTGAATGTTTCTCTGTGTCCCCAGCTGATGTATTTCAGGTTTTCGTCTTTTCAGAAAATGCACTTTTAAAGGGGCTATTGATATGAAATTCACACCAATACTCAGTTGCAAACAACGTAATCCACATACCCAATGAAATCAAGAGAAATATGCCCATAAAGTTACTGTGGAATGACACATTTAATTGGTATTGAAGTAAATTAAGAAAAGAAATGGCCAAAAGGCACAGAAGACAAAGAAAAAAAACCCCATTTCAGATTGAAATTTTAAAACCAGGTAAGAAATTTGTAAAACTCTAACATTGTGCTAGCGGATTGCAACTATTTTTTTAAATATAGCTTTAAAATGTAGAAGAAAAACAAGGAAAAGAGACAAAAAAATGGAGTGCAGGGAAAATGAGTAAAAACTGCAAATGGAAATAGGTTGTCAGCTGGTCAGGATTTAGAACCGTGAGTCAAGAAACTGTAACTCCGTCTAAATCTGGCTTTTGTGTTGTTTTTTTTCTCAGGCAATCACATTCGTATAATCGCCTAATGGTTGTGCGTGGCAAAGCCAAAAATGCAGAAAGGTTTTCATGCATTGATATAATAATTTAAAGATTAGAGGGGATGGAAAATGAAAGCCAACTCGTAGATTTCCAAAGAGGATGCAATGAAGACAGAGCAGTCTTACACTCAAAGTAAAACCCTGACGGATGATGAGCGCCGTCTCATAACCACAAGGTTGACTTTATGAGAGAAAGCTTTAAAGAACAACAACAAAAAAGAGGTTTGTCAAAATAAATGTCAGTTCCATCTTGATATGCATGCATGTAGTTTATTTGTTACAAAAAAGGCTTTTAGGCATTTAACTGATTTCGGTGTGTTCTTTCTGTCCTTTTACTTATTTACTCAAGTTTACGGTATACTTGGTTAGATTTCTTTGTAAGTATGAACTGCTTGGATTGTTTCTGATATATGGTGTTTAAATTATATTGAATGAGCAAAACATTGTTCTGTTTAATACTTATTGTCTCTGTTATATCTGCACACTTTTTAGACGTTAGCAAGGTTTTAATGTGCCATCCGACGGTACCTCTGTGGTATCTGCTCCTGCAGCGGTAGGCTCTCTGACAGGGTCCAGACATCGAGTCCCTCAGGGTCCGGATAGCCGTGTACTGGACCCCAAGAGATGCGCACACCAGCAGCAGCACCGTCTTCCAGGAGCACTCCATCCTGCCCCCACCTCCGGCTCTACATCCTTCACGCTGGCGCCGCAGGGAAGACACGGGAAAAGACACAAAATGAGATTTTATTTTGATTGCTTTTTTTTTTTTTTTTTTCCCCACCCTCTTGCATGCGCAGCTCCCATAGAGTGACACCTCCAGGGCATTTACTGATGGTCTTCAGAGCAGCTCTTATTGGAGTTGTTGGGATTATTGCCCAAAGGCACTTCCTTGTCAGACATTTGCATAAATATTTAACATTTTCTTTTCTACTATGTATGCCACATTATTCCAGTCAGTCCAGAATGCACACTTTAATGGCATGTTCTTCTCTGAAAAAACGAAATAGCTTGTTACCGCATTAAATATTAAACAACCTATTTGCATATGATGGCAGCTGACACATCTAACGGCAGAAATATTTGAGCCTCCCGGACCTAAAACTAAACTGTGTGTTATTTATTAGGAAGAAAACAGACTGTAAAATGTTTTATCTACAAGGAAAGAGAATGGGTTAGCAACATTTTCCATTTATGGCACACAGTGGTTTTGCAAAAGTATGTAAAGATTTTGGTCCCATTTTAAAAGCAAATCTTTAAGTAACTACGCCCCAAGTCCCCAAATGTCCTTACTGTTGACATGATTTTGTAAGTATGGATTTTTCCGTTAAATAAAATATTTTCACTGCCTTCTTGTAAAATATTTGGCTTTTCTTTATGTCATACCATATAATGGTATGACATAAAGAAGTTGGGGTTCTTTGATTCAAAAATCAAAGCAAATTTCCTATCACAAATAAAAAAAATATCCAATTTTTTTAAGAGAAGCTTTAGCAGCTCAACAAACATTGTAATTAGTTGTATTTTCCTTCCATATTAGCAGTATACATTGCTTTGTCTTAGTCTGTCACATAAAATCCTAACAAAAGACGTTGTGACTGTAGAGTGACACAAGAGGCAAAAGTTCAAGTGCATCAGGACGACTTTAAATAACTTAAATGTACAAACAGCTTAGAACCCGTGTCATGAAATCTTGACCCAGACTTTCATCTGGAGAACAAAGCAGTGATGGTTCCATCTACAACAGCCCCACAATTCAGGACACTTTGCATACTGTTGCATAATTGCTATTCATCTTTACTTCCCCCTCTTCTGGGTAATTAAGCCTCTGAGCCCAGGAGAGAACTGCATACTCGGATAAATATTGCTGTCGTCTTAAGTGGAGAAGTTTTCTTTGTGAGCTTCCGAGTTTTTTTTTTGCCACTGGCCATCAAAGAGCAAAGGAAGATGTGATTTTTCCAGATGGAGTTAGTAGGGGAGAAAAGCTGCCATCCATCCATCCATTGCTGCACACAGCAAACTGATGGTAGATCATAACGTGATCACGGGGTGCAAACTGTCCCTTCATCCCTCAAAAGTGGCTTTACAGGGGGAATCATTAACAAAACCACAGGTAAGTAGCCTCTATATCACATTGCTGACAAAAATAAATGTTCCCCTCCCAGTTTTTTAGCCTCCTCACCCTCGTTCCGTCTCTCTTCAATCTGCTTCTTCTTCATTAATGATGTTTATGTGTCCCTGGCAGACTCGTATCCTCGGGAATGTATCACACTGAGCTTTTGATGTTCCATTAATCACAAACAGCACCGACTGAAAGACGTTTACTCGGTGGGTGAGGGGAAGCTGAATCAAGCTGACATCATGAGACATTCTGTTTGAATACAGTTAAAAAAAAAAAAAAAACAGGGAATGAATTCATCAAGAGGGAGAAACTTTCTCAGGCTGGATACTGCAGACAGACAGGAAGGCAGGAACGCAAAGTAGTGGTGTGTAGTTTGTCACTTTAAGAAGCAGGACTGGCTGAGGGAGGTGTTGGCAGAGGCATATAACGACTGCATGAATGGGTACAAATAATAAGAACCTTTGACCGGGCTTCTTACACTTAAAAAAAAAAAAAAATGAATTCAACAGCTCCGCCATCCACATCCAGTTTGTACTGCACAGCTGGCTGACCGAGGCGCATCATGAAATTCCTCGGCGGCAGGTTTTGTTTTCCTTTCCAGTCGTGTTTAGGGCTCGGGTCCTTGTTTCTCCTCACCCTGCTGCCCTCCGGAGAATCAAGACAGAATCAAGACTCCTCCAGCAAACCGACTCGCGTTGGAAATAACGGACGCTCCGTCAACAGCTGGGAGGGGGGCGGGGGGAGACTGCAGGCTCGGCTTTTTGTATCCCTCATAAAACAACAGCTCTTACAAGGGATAAGAGCCACAGGGACGGGATCAACTAAAGATTATGCTGTGTGGTCCACGTTCCTTAGGCAAGTTTGAGTTGTAAATTCAGTGAGCGCGTTTGCTGCAGCTGCTGAGATAACACAGCCGGCAGCCGGAGCGCTGTGGCGCACGGTGTGAGAAAGGTAATTGCCTCTGTGGAAAAACAAAAGCAACAAATGAGGTTAGAAGTTAGTGATGAAGGTGGGACTGAGGGATTCGGGATCCGACTTATTGAGGGATGGGGACAGAGCCATAGATTTTTCTATTAGGGGGCCCCTCGGAGAGTTCACACATCCTCAGAGCCGGGCTGTTTATTGGTGAAGGCTGATGATCAATCCTAGAAAACACTGAGGGGCCGAGCAGCAGCAGCAGCAGCGGTGGTAACGCCTGGAGCTCACGGCTGGTCTTTCTCGCTCTGTCCTCCATTTATCAATCTTATTTTCCTCCAATTTTTCTCTGTGTTTTAACCAATTTCTTACATACAGAGCTGCAGCCAGCAAGATGCATGTGACCCCTTGGCCAGATGAGGAACTCCTGTGTGGAGAAAAGATTAATCTTGTCCAACGTAATTCCTAAACCACACAAATACACACACACACACACACCTAAGGAGAGAGCCAAGGCAGTGGGATGGAAGATGGGAAAATGAAGAAAAAGGTCAACTCTCATCGTGCCTTGTCCATGACAGCGTTGCTTTTATAGGCTGCTGGATCAGGACTGGAGGCTGTTCTCGTAAATTCAGTGCAAATAGCCGATTCACCCTGTTTGAGTAAAATGAAAAGACACACCAATGAAGCATAACATTACGACCACTGACAGTTGAAGTGAATTACATGTGTTTGAGCTAAATAAAAGCAGGAAGAAATGGTTGAGTGTTAGGGTTGGAACAAGTTTGACGAGAGCCAACGTGTGACGACCGCAATGGGTCACAGTCTATCCAAAAATCCATGAGTGCAGTGGTCATGGTTTGCGGTGGCAGCTGAAGTTTTACTTGAATAAACCCCAAGAGTGCCCCTTCTTTAGTGCCCCGACAATAAAACGGTTGTCAAAATCTCTAAATGTAGTCCATATTCCTTAAAAAAAAAAAAAGAAAGAAAACAGTGAAACTACACTTTATAACAACAACCAGTCAGAAGGTGCAAATCAAATGGCAAATAGCTAGATGCAGTCTGCAGGAATGTTTCCTTACTAGCATCATCAGCAGCATAACATTTGTTTGGGTGATGAGAACTGAAATGTCAGATCGAGAAACGTCAGGTGTTCAGGCCAACCCGCACTGCTCCACCAGGGTTAGTGAGCCATATCAGGCAAAGCAAAGATCACCTGTGCAGGGGTCAGTATCCATCACAGGTGACCAAGGAAGGGACAGCCCTTCCTTCCAGGCTAATTTATGCATGTGGGTGCTACAGACCAGTCAACATGCCTACGTTGAAGACTCCACCACATAAAAAACTAACCATCTTGCAGTAAAAGTTGCTGACAAGGTCTCTTTTACATCAAGTAGATTTCCAGGTGTTTTACTGGGGGAAAGCATAATGGCGGAGGAAGCAAGTGGACGATGCTCTGCTGTAAAACTTTCAAGTCCTTCCATCCACGAGAAGCTCACTTTTTAAACGCACCACAAACACAGAGCGAACAATTGTCACTTTTTTTCAGTAAAGTAGCATTGGTGGCTGAGGCAGCTTCAGACTTTTTTTTTTTTTTTTGCCACAAAGGAAAAAGTCTTCAGGAATTATTGGAGGAACACAACGACCAATTCATGCTTTCTGGATGCGCTTGAAAAAAAAAAAAAAAGAAAAACAAGTAACATCTTGACTCCAGACACCACAAACATCTTCAGAGGTTTGAGTCCGTCCATCCACCGACGGATCGACACTGTTTGGCAGGTGTTCATAAACGTAAATTATTAAAGTTATGAAGTCACTTTGGATGCAATAACGCTGGCAAATTAATATAAGAAATCCATTCTAATAGCTGTCCAGTGGTAATATAAATATAATAATAAACCAAAAGTTAATAATTAACATCCACAAAAAAAAAAAACATTTTGCGTATTTACTGATGTTCTGCTTCTGTCCGTGTTCTACCAACACGCTGTCTGACTTTGGTCCCAGCTGTCTGTGCGTAAACGAGCAAGATCTGACAAAAACAAAGAAAAAAGAAAGAAAGAAAAAATCACCCTACCATCAGCGCTTCCAGTCAGATGCTGTATTCCTCCGGCCAGTCCAGTCCCGGGCTGTGCATTTGCAAAGCTGTGTGAATGAGAGAGGGTGTGTGTGTGTGCGTGTGTGTGTGTGTGTGTGTGTGTGGGAGTGTGTCAGTAGCCACCGGTGTCTGGAGCCCAAGTGCGTTCAAAGCCGGAGACGCGCCACGGACGGAAAGTGTCTGGGAAAATAAGCATGTGTAGCCCACCCCTCCAGAGACCGGAGAGACTTTAGCGGCCGAGACATCAGATTGGATGCGAGATTACCCCCCGCCCACCCCCGCTTCTCCGTGCATTACGCCTTCTTGGCTGAGCTTCGCTTCATTGCGCCCCGGAGATGCATGCGAACCAGTGAGGAAGTAACCTACATAGTGAGGGACGACTAACTCTGACTGCTGTGATGTGTGAGAGAGGGAGAGAGAGCGCGTCCACACATCGCAACCTGTAATTTAACTGGTTTGCAGGAATGGGAGGACGTGATATTTTTCATATCGCCTGGAGGGAGCCTTCATCAGCTCCAGCCGAGCATCGACAATCAGTTCAGCATCCTACCAGCATCCTTCTCTCCGCAGGGATTCAGCTTGCCCCGCACACATATATAAACACTTCATCCCGTGGGGCTCCGGTGACACAATGACCTCTATTTTTCTCATTTCAGTGAAGATGACTGCTATCATCAGATAAGGCCCCCTCCTCACTCTGCTGCCCACTCTCCTCTCCACTCGGGTGGAGGGATGGGCAGCATATCATTGCCCCTCTGAGGGTTACTGTGGGGTCAGATTTAGCCAGTGACAGCTCCATTACTCCTGGAAATGTGGGTGGATTCTGTTTGCAGGCTTTCAGATTTATCTCCCACCGAGACAGAGTCACATTGAAAAGGCGTGTCTTTACGGAAATTTGCGAAATAATGTATCTGTTGTTGGGCCTCTCGGTTGCCTGGGCAATCCGAAACATCAGGAAGGGTCTGCAGACACAGTTGGAGGGGAGGCAGGATTAGGGCCACTAACACAGCTACTTAATGAATTAGAATATCATTTTAAAACTTATTTCATCGTAGTCATTCAATTCAAAAACTAAAACTAATAAAGATTTGTTGTTATGTGGCTGTTTTATTGCCTACACAACCACAGGGAAGACTGATGGCTTTACAGAGATGGAAAAAATCTTCACATTAGAAAAGCCACAGAAAGCTGTAGCTAAAAATGATGGTTGTTCAGCTCAGCGTGCTGCATCCGAGCTTATTAATGAAAAACTAAATGGAAGGAAAAAGTGTTGTAGAAAAAGAAGCACCTGTTGGCCTGCCCCCCGATGGTGGGGTGGAATCACTGCAAGTCATAAGGAGGCATATGGGGCAACTTCAGCCACTTCTCCCATGTCAAGTCTCACTCCAGTCGGTTGGTGTCTGATTCAGTTCTTGCAAAGTCGGCTGTGTCTCCATTGGCAGTGTGTTCAACACTAGATCGCATCATTTTGTTCATCATCCCCTTGGGAGACCAGTTTCTCTGAAATCTCCAGGATTCCAAAAACTGGGGCTAATTGGGGAAGAAATTAAAGTCACATATGGGAAAAGGGTTTTAGATCCGCCTGGTGGAACACAAGGACATTCGAAAAACGTAAGTTGTAAAGACAAAATGGTTCATAATGTAGTTTTCATCTCCTGCTATGAGTATTTTTAGGTTTCTAATTGCAGCCCAACTTGAGTTCAGTTGAACTGAATTCAACAGAAACCTGTTTCACAAATGTTCACTTTTGGGAATTTATTGTTGGTCGGTTACTGAACTATAAAACAAGCTGTAGTGAACACCAAAAATCATGAGACATTAACAATACCAAAGCTACGTTACCGATGCTGTGGTTGCTGGTGGACATTGAGCTTAGCTGTAATTTGCTCCCCAAATCAAATTCTGACCAGGGCCTTGTGCAGACCTCGGACCAACTGTGCTGGCTTGTTTTTTTTTTTCTTTTTTTTTTTCATTTCTGCTTTTAAGCACTTTTTTCTGAAATGAAATAGTGGGCAGTCCTGAATATTCTTCCTTTTTCAGGCCATACAAGTTAAACATAACAGAAGGGTAAAAAAAAAACAAAACAAAACAAAAAAAACTCTGAAATTGGAAGAAGAGAGGATGGAAAGTCTTCCCACGCAGGTAAAGAGCAGCAAGCTTTTTCTGGTGCCCGAGGGTGGAGGCACATTACCAGTCACAAAGGACGACAAGCTGCCAAGAACACCCAGTGAGTGATACAAAAGCGAAGTGTCCTCCTCCCCTCTTTTTGCTGATTCCACCCCTCTGCCAGCCTACAGTATAAATTCCCTGGTTCTGAGCGGCCAAATGCCTCCACTCCTTCTTGGTGAGATTTGAGGAATAAGTTGAAAATTCCTGCAAGCGAGCGCCGAATCCTCAGTGGGGCTCCCCATTTAGATATGCCCGCATCTATCCAGAACCTGAGAGATGTAAAGAGCACATGCCCAGATATTATGCATACGCCGGCTCGAAGGAGTACAGACTGTCTTTCATATTGCTCAACAAATGTTTCATCAATCTACGTTTTCTTAGATTCACCCCTGGATCTATTTTGAACGCGACAGAAGTATCTCATCTTCTAATGGATGGGAATGCTCCAGTGCATTCTCCGCTCCCGTCAAAAGATGCAATCCGTTTAGTCAGGCTGTCACGAGGGGCTCCGGCTCCTGCAAAGTTCGCCAGCGGAAGAAAGCTGCTGATCCTCTGCACTCCATCTAATTTCACAGCACCGAAACCACGGCCCCTTTATTCAGGCCTTCCTTGCTGTTTGCAGAGAGCAGGTGAAAGAAATCTCATTTTAGATACTCATGTGCCAACAGAGACGACTAAATTTAATTCAGCAAGTCCACCGGCGCGGCACAATGGCAGACTGTCTCTGCCTTCATTTGATCAAAAACGGTAGGAAGCACTGCAAATGCACATCATTGTTTTAATCAAAGCCAACGAGGAGGACATTGGTCCGGAGAGCAAGAAAGCTGCCAACAATGCGCAGATTATTAACTAAAGTAAAATATAAGCATAGTGTATCTCAGGTATCGCTAGCTCCAGCCTGAAACGCCTCTGTTTACTCAAAGATATTGCTTTATTTGGTGAAGTCTTTCATAATAGCAGTGAAGCTGCTGCCTGGAGAACTCTGGACTGTATGATTCACATCACTTTCTTACTAAGCAAACCCTTCATGGTTCCCTCGGGCACCATGGATGCAGACAATGTCGTTCCTGTGAGTGTAAAAATGTTTAATCATGGGGCAAGGTTGTTTATCAAAGGACGTTGTTTTCAAATTGAACTGAATCAGACATTAAAAGGAAAGATACGTCTCCGTGAGAGATATAAAAATAACTTTAAGGGTAAAGGGTCCAAGAGGAAGGAAAGGAAGGATACAGTGCTGTCTCCTTACAGATTCTGTCAGTGTTCGCTTTTCCGTCACAGTTAAATGTTTCAGGCTAATATCAGACATAGATAACACAAGTATATTGAAATTTACATTTGCAAATGATGATCTTAGTTGCACCAGCCTGGCACTATGTGGAAGCTGAAGTTAGAGCATCCTGCTAATTGAATTCTGATGCATTGACGTTTCCAGCAGCTTAACAGCTCCTCCAGGTCCCGAAGCAGGAAAGTTATCAAACTATCACCGTCCTATTATCACTATTATAACATGTTTGAATTGTAAATGAGTTATACTTGTATAGCGCCTTGGCAAAGCTCTTTCAGTCATTCACACATTCACACAAAGTGTGCTGATGGCGGCAAGCTACTGGATAGGCAGCCATGCACCGGCGCCCTCTGACCACCACCAGCAGGCAAGGCAGGTCAAAGGTTAAATGGTAGATTTAGTTGGGGTTCTCTGCCATTTTCTTCCAGCCAGTAATTTTCTGTTTTCTGACCACAGAGGGAGCTCAGCATTGCACTTTTGTCTTTTTCTTGAGTTACGTACTTATTATTTTCCATTAAAATGGGGCGGGGGACTTTTTTTAATTTATTTTGGTCTTGGAAATTCTGACTTTTATTTCTTCCCTTTTGTTAAGTCAGGTGTGAAACATTGAATTTATTAAATTAAAACATTTTTACACTGAGCCAGGTTTTGTCCAGTATATTAAACTGAAAAAAATACATCTATAGACCTACACTGTCATGACCCAGATGGTGAAGTCATGACCAACAAAGGGAGGTCGATTTCGAAGCAGATTAGTATGTATTTATTAAGTTAACTTTTTCTGAGCAAAAAAACAACAACATATGGTTAGTGAGTTCAAACCCAAAGCACAATTAAAGGTAACACAAAATTAATGAGATGATTTCCTACCATGGAAAAGGTCCAGCTAGACAAAGCCAGAAAAAAATAAAGTAAAATAAAAATACCCAGACCGCCTGCCATGGAGAGAGCAAGCGCAGCCAGGTTTAAATAAGCTGAGAATATTGGGTCACCAGGTCACCGCCCCTTCACCTGAGGAACAAAGGACAACCACTGCCCAGGGAAAGAAAAGAGCTGTTACAATATGTTTTGTGCTGCATCCTGTGCCTGTTCAGTTCTAAGAGTTGGAGCGAGAGGCAAACCTTTCCTTGTTACCCAGTGTCTTTGTTATTGTTGAATCATGAACACTGACTTTAACTGGGATAAAAGAGGTCTGCAGTTCTTTGGATGTTCTTCAGGGTCTTTTAGTGGCTTCCTGGATGAAGTGACCAACAAGTAGAGATCGATGAATTCTTGGAGTAACAATGGCAACTTTGTTTTTGGATCTTTTAGTCTTTCTCATGTGGTCAGACAGGGTCTACCAATCTGACCCATTAATCATTCAAAATCACATATCAACCATTAAGAGGCAGGAATCATTTTCCCTTTCAGGGTTTATTACTTTTAGTTCTATATTTACTTTGTTAACTGTTGATTTTAAGACGTTTTCCAACATCTACTCATGCCTGCTTCAAGAAACGTGGCCATGTGACTCTGATAAATAATATATATCAACTGGTTATTTCTGGTCTAATGAGGGCTCTTATTTCACACTTCAGAGGAGCTCTGACTGACCCAAGCAGGGGGCAGAATGGAAATCTGGTGTAATATGAATTCTTTAGAAAGTAACATACAATCAAACTCAATTATAAATGAGATTTGTGCGTTTCTTTGGCTATCGCCACATTTTTCTAAAATATGCTTCAGTGTCAAGAGAAATAATATGATATGTAAAAGGAAAGCACCTGGGTAAAGGCTTTATTTACCTGTATGAAGTGGAAGGAGGGGATAAAGTGACAATGTGTGGGTAAAATAGAAATATGAATGACAGAACTGATCCGAACACGGTCATGTAGAACAGGGGCTACGCTCAGTAGAGGTTATCTTAAAGAAAGGCTGTGAATAAATTGAGTTAGTGCTTCAGTTCTCCGATCCACTCATGAGTTTGAACCTTGCTACGAAAACATTTTTGCTATAATTGTTACAAGATATTGAAACAGGAGTCCAAAGAGGAAAAAACAACTGTTTT